GCCCGAGTATCCCGGGAATAAATACATAAGTAAACCAATGAGTCACGGCAAAGACAAGGAAGTGGACGAATGCAAAGAGGCCTGGGCCCGAAAAGGGCTTTGAGGCTGGAAAGGTAGAAGCAAAAGTGAGAGGCATCTGGTAAGCGTGTTGGCATGGAAGATGGAAGATGATAGCAGTGGCGAGTGTTTACTGAGGCTTAACATGTGCCAGGCACTCTTCTAAGCCCTTTGAATGTATTTACTCATTGAATCCTCCTTCTGACCCTATAAAGAAGGTATGAATAGAACCCTCATTTTACAGAGGAGGAGCTAGAGCAGTGATGGCGAACCTATGACATGCATGTCAGAGGTGACACGCAAACTCATTTTTTTGGTTGATTTTTCTTTGTTAAATGGCATTTAAATATATAAAATAAATATCAAAAATATAAGTCTTTGTTTTACTATGGTTGCAATATCAAAAAATTTCTATATGTGACACGGCACCAGAGTTAAGTTAGGGTTTTTCAAAATGCTGACACGCGGGGCTCAAGAGGTTCGCCATCACTGAGCTAGAGGGACAGAGAAGTTGAGCAAATTACATTGCCAGTAATTGGGGAGGGGGAGTGCACACATTAACTGCCTTTCTGTTTCTCAACCTCATGGAAATCTTTGGGGGTTTCAGGATTAAATGACTGAAAGAATATGGTGCCATTAGTGAGAATAGGGTATTCAGAGAGAAATATGGTTTAAAGGGAAAATAAAAAAAATCTACTTTTAGCTACTCAGAGTTGGAGGTGAGAGCAATAAAAGGGCTATTTTTTGGGGGGTGGGGGTGGGGGTGAATTAAGTAGAATAAGCAGGCAAAGGGGCCAAAGCATTTACTATATAATAGCTAAGAGTATTCAAAAGATACTGAGAAATCATTGGCATTACACATAGAACTATTTTCTCACCTCATGTCCATTAAAAAATGTTTGCACTCCTAAGTTGTTAATACAGAAAGAACAACTTGTGTGTTCTTCTGCCTCTAAACACAGAGAGATAACACAGAAGAAAATTCAGTCGTTTTGAGTAACAGCTGATCATAATGGCAATCAAGAGTTGAGTATTGGAGTATGTTTTTACTAATATAGTTATTTT